CCCCCCGACACCTTCAAATTTTGAGCTATTATGAAATCTACCGCAAACAAACGTGGCCCGAGCAGCCATACTCCTCCAAAATTAACTGCCCGCTTGGCATGACTTTCACTGGCCTCTTTTTCTAAAAATTGCTTCAAAAAAACGCTAGGGAGCCTATTTTGTGGGCTTCATAGAGAGGAATAATTGGCCAACGCACAGGCTGCCCGTGTGAAGACCGAACACTGGAACTAATCCGCCACTGCTTTGACTTCTGCCATGGTGGAAATCTCGACGATATTACTGATATGCAGCTGTGACAGTTCCTCTTGCCCTGGATTGCCTGCGCTCAACTGTTACTCCCTCTTTCTTCCCACCACGTATTTGAAAAATTAACGCAAAAAATTGATCTGTATAGATAATTTTGCGGTAATAATTACCGCACCTGAGGAATGCTATACACAGACATATGATGTTCGCCAACTGTTAGCAAAGTAAATTACGCATGCCTCTATCTGTGTTCAACGCTAGCTACTTGAAACACATAGTGCTTTTCGATTTTTGTTCATCGGTACATGCATTAATAAGATCCAGTATTTCGCAGTTCATATTGAGGCGAAAGTCATAAAAAACTCCATAAGTCGGATGGTAATCCCTTCAGGAAAACTTTTTTTTTTTTGAATCACCAAGCGAAGCAGCATTGGTCAAAGCAAATAGAAATGTTAAATAATTACGGGGTCAGAGTATGAAGTGCAGCTAAGTATGGGAAGCCAAAACAGTGAGCAGTTAATTTGCTCGCCATAGACTCACAAAAAATGAGATTACAGAGGCGCGGAGGGAGGGACGGAACAGAATAAAAAGGTCATCCAAGGTTGCTCACTAATTTTGACAGATTGATAATGAATGCATGTGGGGGAGAAAAGGAATAAATAATCGGAAAGGTGATTACAGAGAGGATATATGAGGAAATGAGGCGCAATCGAGAGGATATGGAGGGACTCGTGAGGCGATCGCAGCCAGATGAGAGAGCTTCGAAAGACCAGTTGCTTACTGTATATTCATTCATTCATCCGTATTCCACACTGATCCCGTTTATGCGTCAGTGTCGACGGCTTAAAGACGTCAAGGCCAAATTACTAGTGAGGCCGCCCCTGTTTGACGATAAATGCATCGACAGATGTGTGTGTGTGTGTGTGTATGAGATGGTACATAACACACCGTAGACGATGGCGTCCAAGGAGGCGGCCGGTGGTGTATCGGGCTTCGGTATAGCAAGAGGTGGGACTACAAACCTTATTACCTTCCGTTGCCTCCTCTTTCCTGAGTGGTCCCACCTAGGCATTGACATCCACAAATATTATACCATTAATATGGCGACAGAATTCCACCTAATTCAAAAAAATTCAAACCGAAAACTTTCGTTCCTGTAAAAATGTAGCCAAAGCCAAAAATCAAAATTTCAGCAGCCGACATGAAAAGCTGTTATTGAGGTGAACTGTTTTAAGGTAGCCAGCGAGAGCCCCAGTGAAACTGGTGATTGAGGTATGAATCGTAAATGAATACGTATAATACTGTCAAATAAGCCAACAAATGTCATTCTAGGTCATTGTACTTTACAGTTTCCATTGTCATTCCGCTGACCTTTTTCAATCAGAACTGCTCGCCTAAACAAGTTTGTGCTTCCTCCTGTCGAGAATTACGAATTTTCGAAACATAACAGCGGGCGTTAGCTGACCCATTGCCCTCTTTTGCTCCGCCCACCTCTTAAGATTAAGCATCTTTCTTTGTGGGTCACTATTGCCCAACCAACTCGCGCAGGATGGTGAGAGAGGGTCCTGCTTTTGTTGCTAATTGGGACTTTAAAATTTTTGTTTTGCTTAAATTGTTTTTGTGATCGTGATTGTCGTGAAACTAACGCGTAAATTGTTTGTGCATTCAATAAATGGTTTAACAACCCAAATTTGAGATTACTGAAATTGGTGGCGTCGAATCGATTACAACAGACTGGATATTTGACGGGCCTATTGTGACCTCTTATCGCTGTATTGGTAGTGGTCAATTCTGAGTTGTCAATAAGTTCGAAGTTGCGCTTCGACTGTGGAAAGGAACCGGCAGAAGAGGAACGAAGACGAAAGTCTACGCTCCAGGAAACCAAAAGGAAAATGGTTCCCATTCGTTAATTTTTGTTCGGGGACTAGCTATCCCGAAGTAATTTGAATTCCCGACTGAACACCTCCCATCTCCTTAGACAATGAGGCATTTCCTGTGAAAATTCGACA